TTAATGGTTTCTTGTCTTTTGTTCGGTCCTGTTGCTGTGCCAATGGAAAATCGTTTTTATAGAAAAAAAAAGGATCAAGGAAATTTCCCAAGAAGCGTCATTAATTGTCTCCTATTTAAAATCAGTTCATCAATCATTATTATAAAAATCATCGATCATTATGATATACAAAAACTTATTGTTAACTGTTACATCAATTACATCAATTGTGAGCTTGAAATTTCGCATATTATTTATTTAATTTATATGCATCATTAAAAAAATTTAGTTGTTATTCATTGTCTCAGTTTGATTAAAAACTGTTGCTTCACAAATATTTTAATTTAAGCTATGGAATATTCGAAGTATCGTGATTCCTTCAACGAACTGGCCTACATATAACCCGAATAATTCGGTCAGGACTGAAACCTCGGGGCAGGCCATATGCTGAGAGACGACGTATAATTACGAGGGATGCTCTTCATGGCAACTCAGTAAGGGTGGGGACCCACGAAAACCGGGGAGAGCGCAGTGGGGGGCGCGCCGTTATATAAGGAGGTACCCGAACTCCGAAGGACCGCAGTTGCGCCGAAATTTTGTCCGTAGGACAAATCCATGCCAGTGGACTTCGTATCCCACAGGCACAGGATCTGTGTTCGGTTAGACCGCGACATATCTCGGAGTTATAATCGGAAAAAAAAAACAGCAATATACTAAAACAGTGAGGGATAAGATTCTTTGTTATCAAAGATGAGGATGAACCCCGTGTACCTTTCGGCGTTGATATTCTGCATGATTTTGGTCCTCGTGGCCGCCAACCTGGATCTCGGACCAATCATCACAATCGCACAGTGCCGATCAACGTGCTTGCGACACCACATGGACAAAGACGTCTGCGTGAATGATGAAAGCGACATCCAAAGTGATTGCGATGAGGTGATTAGAAATAATATATACTTGTTCTCTTATAATTTTGATAAATTCTCAAGTATTTATATAAAATAACGCACACAACAAATTCAGTAAAAAAGTAAACGCTTCTTGTTTCTGATTATAAATATATAATATAAAATAATTGTTTTACTTGTGAAACTTAAAGAGTTACATAAAATCAAAACTATTATATCGATAAAATAGTTAAAATAATTACAAATCTATTATTGAATTCAGTTAATATAAAATGTATCAATAAAATATATACATATATATTATATTTTTATTGTGAGATCTCAAAACTTAATTGATAAGGTAACTTTGATCAAGATTAATTGAAGAAGAAAAGACTGACAGAGTATTAAGGAAAAATTTTTATTTTCTGAAAATTTTTTGGAAATGTTTTTAAATATTTTACGCACTTATTTTTTATAAGATATAAGATTCGGAATTTTTAGTATATCAATAATATTATATAACTCGAGACAATGTTCTTGTCAAGATAATCATTTGGTTTTATAAGTTTCAAAACTTTTTAATAATAATGTATAATATTTTATGTCAAAAATGCTATATCAAAAATTTGAGAAAAATTTTTACAGCCACGAATTTCTTATCAGAACAGTAAAAAAAATAATAATAAAAATAATTTGAGCGATATAATTTCGCGTGCATCTCACGTATACGCAATCTATATGTGCGGCCTATACGTGCGGAGAAAGGGGCATTGATCGCGACCGGAAATCAGATAGAACACCAATAAATTTTTGGATGTCAATTTTATAGGGGAGAGTGTGGAAAATCACCAGGTGTGGTCTCCACCCTCTGAACACACATATGCACAGATGAAAATCGCAGTTAGGGAGAGTCGAGAGAACGTGCAACAACACGCGCGCTAGGGCGTTGCTCATTTTATGCTAAAGAGGGTGTCCATTAATTTCGGGAGATCCGTCGATTCCATGTCCCATGAGAGCGAGGGGGCCGAACGCACAAATTTATGCTTGGGTTTCTGTGACGAATGCGGGGAGAAGAGGCTTGCATTAGAATAATAGCCTGCAAAGGGGGCGGGAAATGAAACTAACTAAACCTAACTCTTAACGAACACTATACAGTTGGTCACCTCCTTCTCCTCCTCTTTTTCCTCTTCCTCCTCCTCCTCCTCCTCCTCCTCCTCCTTCTCCTGTTCCACGAAAGACGATCCGTGTATCGACGATGACATCGAAGAAGAAAAGACTTCTTTGTAATTCAGCATGATCGTTTTAATCTTTAGAAGAATAATAATTTAAGAAAAAAAAAGAAATTTGTTAAATTAAAATAGTAGTACGGATATATAGCATATAAATTTCTTGAAAAATAATGATAATAAAATATAAAAATAATTTTCTTGAATATTTCTCTAATATAAATATAAAATGATGTGAATTTTTATTTTATAATTTAAAGCAACAAACTAAGTTACGGTAACTTAAACTTGACAATCGATTAGTAAAGCTTAATAATTATAAGATCATCAAGTCGAATTTGACCAAAGGAACTAATCAAAGCTAAAAATTTACTGAGTTTTGCGGGAAGATCTCTCAAAAAAATAATGAAATGTACCATATATTTTTAAGTAAGACATAATTAGCATTAAGTTGTACAAATATAATAATGATACAAATGAAAATGTATTTCTTGGGGCTGAATTTTGTATCGGGCTGAAGTATACCTTGACATGGCTTTCGGGAAATGTCATTAGTGGGGAACCACAGGGCCTTTCGTTTCTCCGAAGCGGAGAATCGGGCTTAGCAAGAGTATGTGACGACGAAGGGTAATCGAGAATCGAGAGAGAGAGAGAGAGAGAGAGAGAGAGAGAGAGAGAGAGAGAGAGAGAAGAAGAAGAG